TTTAATTGGTACCGGGGATCGAACTCACAACTGCCTGCTTGCAAGGCAGGTACTCATGCCGCTGAGCTAAATCCCCAGCCCCGCTTTTTATTTTTTATTTTTTGTCCTTTTCTTTTTTTATCGATACTAGGGATGGAACACACGACCACACACTTGCAAGGCAGGTGCTTATGACGCTGAGCTAAATCCTCAGCCCCTAGCCCTGCTTTTATAATGTCTTAAGCACATAACCAGTAATGACTTGAAATGTTTTCTAAGGAACATTACAATGTTACTACTATTTTAGTGAATCAAGACTATCTGTAAAGCACTTTTCCTTTCATTTTAATTTAAAAGTTCATGTCATTTAAAAAGAAGTCAAGAAACCAGACATGGTGGCACATACATATCTATAACCCCAGCATTCTGGAAGGCTGAGACAGGAAGATCAAAATTTTAGTTCAGCCCCCTGGGTAACTTAGTGAGACTGGGGATTATTATTATTAAAGGACTGGGGATGTAGCTCAATGCAAAAGCCTGGCTTTACTCCTCGCTACCATACATAAATAAAAAAGCAAATAAAGTCAAGAAATGAAAATTTATGATAGTGTTTTTTCCCTAAAAAATATTTTAAAAAGGCTAAGAGTCACAAAACACCCTAAACCTCATAGGAAGAAAACAAGATTAGAATAATAAATATACTATTGCTGCTACTATATAGATGTAAACATTCTCCACAAACTCAGGTTTATGGCTTATTGTGTTTTAATTGAGATGAAATATTCATCTGTGGTTGAGGGGGTAGAGCTCTTGCCTAGCATGCAAAAAGCCCTGGGTTCCAATCTCAGTGCAAACAAACACGAGTAAAACAATCTGCCAAGATTTTGTTTTGCAAGGCTGGTTGAAAATGCATTCTCAGTCTTTATTGGGTACCTCCCCAGAGTCAAACAAATGTCCAGAAGGTCTGCAAGAGACAGAGACATGTGTCTGGCCCAGTGACATTTTTGCACTGGCCCCATCGTCCAAGCCCAGATAGTAGCAGAGCGCAATCTGCCTCACCTGTTTCAGGCAAGGCTCCTGCAGCCTGACCCCAGGTGGGAGCCTAGGGCCTCATGTCTTCCTCCCTCCTGAGGCTCTTTGAGCCCTGCAGTATGGAAACCACTGGCATTTGGTCTTTTCCTTGCTATTTGGAGGAATCTTTTTTTCTCGTTGTCTTCTTCCTTCTAGAAGTTGCCCCAAGAAGCTTTGGCTTTTGGAAAAACAGCAGCCAAGGAGGCAGGGTGTCTAACAGCAACTTGAATTTCACAGCTTTGCAAGGGAATTTGTACCAAGAGCTCTGAATCTCTTTAGAGTTTGGGGCAAGGAAAAAACAGAGCCCAAACCCCAAAGGAATATTTCCATCAATGATCCTATATTATTTCTACTATTAACAAATATCCAAAATTATTGCTTATTGAACATTACTTTCTGCTCAGATGGCTCAACTTTTTTTTAAAATTTTTTTTTGGTACTGGAATATCACTGCTCTGAGTTCTCCATCTGGTTGTCAGAATGCATTTGCCAAGACTCAAGAACAACAGTGCTGCTTTGGGCGTAATTAATGTTTAGACAATAACTGGTCAGTGCGTTCAGCTGCTTCTTGAGGTCACTCCTGGGATATGAAAATACAGCCCTGTATTGATATAAACAAGACGTTTGTTTTCTTTGTGGTCTATCAAGAGGTTATCATCTCAGTCATGTAGAAGTTAGAGAAAATTGCTTAGGAACAGATTCAAAAAGGGAGAAGCTACTGCCTGGCCTAGTTTTGTGCTGTTTGAAACAGAAAATTGATGGATCTGAAATCCATTTCTGCTCAAAATGACTCTTGATGTAGTATTTTAATAAAGTCCCAAAGAACATCTACAAAATGCTAGGTCAGTTTTTAAATTGTATAGCTTGGCCCATAAATAATTCCTATTTATAGAGTCAAAAGCAGATACAAATGGTAAATCAATACATACTCATTATAGCTATACCACTTACCCTTCCCAACCTCACTTCTGGGCATGATGGATGAGTCAGACAGGCAGGGCTCTGCTCAAGTTGTTCATAATCTGAGCTTTGCAAATGTCATAACCATCAGAATCATCCCTGAAGCTCGTCGAATACAGTGTTACCCAGGCCCCACTACAAAACCAAAATCTCAGAGCAGAGCCCAGTTTTCTTTATAATTCACAAGCTGTAGGTGATTCTAATACTCATCAAAGTTTTAGGGCCATGTAGTTGATGATGTTTTGATGATATAAACTGCTGGAAGCATTTATAAGAGATATGCAGGCATATCTATCATCTTATCTATCTATCTGTATTTATCTTTTAATTTATAAGTCTCTTATTTGCATGCATATTATTAAAATATACAGATAAATATCATCTTTTATTTAAAATAATAAAGGAGCAGGGATATAGCTCGGTGGCACAGCACCTGCTAGGCAAGCATGAGGTCCTCAGTTCAATTTCTGGTGCCAAAAAATTTCTCTCCTAAAATAATAATCAGCATTTATTGAGCATCGACATGTACCAGGCGTGTTAACATTTGTTAGGAGATTAGTAGGAACCAGGTACTGTTCACCAGAAAAATGAAATAGCTAAAAGTCTCTGTCCTGAGAGAAGTAACATTTTAGTAGGGGACCACCAACAATGAAATGAGAGGAGATAGTGATGACTGGGTGCCATGGCAGGAAGCCGTTCAATTGTAATTCAGAATAGGCTGGCAGAGGAAGAGTTGAGGGAGGAGGGGAGGAAGTCCCGGAGCACAGCTGCTGCCAGTTTGGGGGACTGGAGGTGCAAAGCCCTACCCTGAGGAAGAGACTTCTGGTGGCTTCAGGAAACAGCAAGGAGCTGCAGCACAATAGGAGATGTGTCAGAGAGCCAATGAGTGGTTGGCAGAGGTGTGGGGCTTAGAGAGGCTTGTAGGCCAGGGGTAGACTTTGGCTTTCACTCTGAGGGAGATGGAAGGACACTATGGGACACGTGTTAAGAGGCTCATTCTGGCCAATGAGAATAGGCTGTTGGGCTGAGCAAGGCTGGAAGCAGTTAGGAGAGTAATCCTCTATGCAATTCATGGGAAGGAGGGATGGTGGACAGGGTCGGGGTGGGAGCAGTGGAGATGGTGAGAAGAATGCAGCTTCCAGATGTACTGTACTTTAAAAATATATTTATTTTTATACTCATGTGCCGCATAGTGACGTTATAGTCATCGCTGACGCACAACAGTGATCCCATGAGATGATAGTGGAGCTGATTTCCATGTTTGTGGTGTGCTGGTGTAAATAAACCTACTGTGCTGGCAGTCATGTAAACGTATAGCACATACAAATATGTCCAGTACATGATACTGGAGGGTGGTAAGAAATAACTATGTTACTGGTTTACTCTTTACGATACTATGTTAATTTAGAGCTTAGTTCTACTTTTTAAAAAACATTTACTGTAACCAGTGTGCTGGGTTAGGCCAGCAGCAGCCTCATTTATCTCATGTTTACTGCATCTCTTGATTGAATCAAGAGGCTATCTCGGGAGACTGACCTGTACTAGCTAAGTTTGTCTATGTGCACTCTGTGATACTCACAGGGTGATGAAATCAACTAATGATGCATTTTCCAGAATTTGTCCCTGACCTTAGCATGACTATCATGAATGAAAAAAGTTATATATACTTACTGGACACAATGTGATGTTTTGACCTATACATACATTATTGAAAGCTTCAGTCACGCTAACTAACTCATCTGCCACTTTGTCACTTTATCATTTTTGTAGTAGGAATGTTAAAAATAGATTTTGGCAGCTTGAAAATTTACAATACATTATTAACAACTGTGGTCACCATCCAGTATACTAGAGCACCAAAAGTTATTCCTCCAGTCAAACTTTGCTTCATTCTGTCATCGTCTTCTATTTCTCCTCAGAAGGCAGAGCCAGAGCTTCGCTGATGATTTGGATGTGCAGAGTGGGAAGGGGCTGCAAAAGGTGTTTTCGAGGATATTGAGTGTGGCTGTTGGCTGTGCTTTCTGGATTTGGTGGAACGAGATTTGGTTCCAGGAAAATAACCATGGCTTTGTTTGTAAACCACATCTTATGCTTAAAATTAGGGAATTGTGCATACATGAGACTATAAAGTATTCTCTTTGCAAGGAGCCATCAGAGTAGTGTTGACCAGCTGTAGTAAAACTGTCACCGGGATTTTGGTAGCTGGGGACCGTACTCACAATGACATTTCTTTCTGGCATTTGGAAACATTAGCAAAGCTACATTGGCTAATCGAAACATAAGATAGTGAATAATATATGTTGTTCAGTTTATTTCAGGGCACTATGTAAGGCATTATGTAAATTCGCAAAAGAGTCTTTCCTAAAGCCAATGGTGAAAGATACAACTGTTCCCATTTGAGTGTTGAGGAACGTGAGACCTGAAAAGGAAAGCAATATGCTACGGTGAAGTCTGCTAGGTCAGACCTTCTATTTTTTAACTTTCTCCTCTTACCCCCATGGCCTTATGTGTCATGATTGGACCCCAATCCAGGGAAGAGGTGTGTGTGTGTGTGACACTGGGGTTAAGCATAAATCATCTAGCAAAAGAATTGGAACTGATTGGTCAAATGTTCTGTAAGTCACGCCTCTTGGCTCCTCTTCCCTCTCTTTTCTCTGTTCATCTGGTCATTTTATTTCTGATTAGTAAATTCCACTAAACGGCGGAGTAGGGAGATTTAAAAAAAGATATGAAAGTCAGATTAGGTAGTGTGAAGAATAATTTTAATGAAAGCCTCAGTAGAGAATGCTGTTGTAATTAGCACTAAAATGACATTCTGAAATCCTGCTGGATTTAAGTCTGCTCTGCTCTCCTGATCCTTTGTTCCTGTAAAAACCTGAGTTCAATTATGCCAAGTACCCAGCGAGGTTTTCCTGTCTTTGTCTTGCTGAAGAAGACATGTCCGCACCAGAATACCTGGTAACAGTGTCTAATCGATGTACCTGTTTCAGTTTGCAGTGATGATCTCACCCACAAATTCAAAGGTTTCACCGTGATGAATGAAGCAGAGCGATACGAAGCTCTCAGACACTGTCGCTATGTGGATGAAGTCATCAGAGATGCTCCGTGGACTCTCACGCCAGAATTTCTGAAGAAACACAAGGTACTTGTTATCTTGTGTTCTCTAAATAGCAGGCTTAGGAATCTGGTCCTGCAGCTGAAACTACAGAAAGCCCCAAACCCTTCCAATTTCAGGAACTGTCGTTTACTATTACACTTGCTATACTGCCTCTCTTCTGTCCAAGCCTGGGAACCTCTATCTTCTCAGTTCCTTGACTACAGATGCTAGGGCTAGCCCCCCCAGGTCCAAATGCTGTCTCTTTCTTCTTCTAACTGGATCCTGGAGCAATATATACTACTACTCACTTAACCTCATCTGTAAAATGGGATGATACTGGTATCTTCCTCTTGGGGCCATTTTGAGGATCTCACGAGAGAATCTAAGTAAAGCACTTAGAAAACTGACTTGCTTATACACAGTAAGAGCTCCAAAAATGTCTCTACCACTGCTATTATCATCATCATTATTGGTGCTTACAGATTCACAGACCTCGTTTTGCATGGAACAAGTGTATACACATCTTACCCAGAAGGTCAAGGCCAACCTTTAAGGAAAATCTATATCTCTGATTTTGTGACCCTGAGATTCCTACCGACATAAGATTTTTATTAGTTGAAAACATGAGAAACTCTTTTGATCTGCATCAAATTATGTGCTTTGTATCTTCCTGCCAGCCTCACATTAGGAGCTATTCTTTCCTTTTATAAGCAGTACAAAAAAATAAGATTAAGCTGTTCTAAGAATTTTCTTTTCTATTTTTAAATTCGCATTGCAGAAGAGAATAGAGAACACTGATAAATGTGCATGGGTAATAGCCGAGGAGACAATTTCCTAGTGAGAATAAAAAGAAAAGGAAAAACTACAATATGATTTACTTTCAGTAATCATTAACACATTTTTACTAAGCATCTATTGTATATTCAACATGTGATAGGCATTATAAGGGATACTAGTGGTGATGATGATGGCTGACATTTATTATGTACCATGTGCCCAGCACTGTGCTAAGACTTTTGCTATTACTATGAGTTGAAGTCAATTTCATGGCTACCCTAAGATGTTGTTGTTATTGTACATTGGAGAGGGAGAGGAAGAACTGATTTGAGTACAGAATGCATTATTAATAATAATAATAAAATTAAATAAATTAAATTAATAAAAATAATAACCATTTACTGAGTACTTACTATATACTAGTTATTACTTTTAAGTGCTTGTTGGGGTCTGTGCCTAGGCCCCCAACCCCCCAAATGGGTGCATAGTGAAGGCTCAAAGGAATGAGACATGTGGCATGGTCTTTAAGGCTGCAGGAGTGAAATGCTCGGCAGAGCACATAACTCTGCTAGCTGGCCAGCCAACTGATGCTAGGCAGCCCTTTTTAATCAGAACAAGCAAGGAGTTGAGTGGACAATGGAGAAAACCTGAACAGGATCTTGGGAGGGGTTCAAGGACACCTCAGAGCAACAGATGTTGCTAATTAAGGAAAACTATCCAGAAAGTCTCCAGGTGGCCTCAGCTTTTCTTGTCCCCTGAGGTGTCTCCTCCTTGTCAGTTCAGCCATGCCTGGGCCATGCCACAGCCCTGCATGTGTATTCAGCTTCAACACTCTCCAACAAGCTGTGGTACATAATTGTATCATTGAGTAGGTGCTTCTTCACTGAGTGTGCCCCAAAGGGATATTTGACAATGTCTGGAGACATTTTTGGATGTCATAGCTAGAGGGTGCTACTGGCATCTAGTGGATAAAGGTATGGGATACTGCTAAGCATCCTCCAATTCACAGGACAGCCACAGATGCCAAAAAATTATCCAGCTCCTAATGTCACTCGCAATGAAGTGGACAAATCTTGATTGAATCTTTCCTACCGAATTTTTGAGTTACAGCTAATAAGTGGCAGTGCATGAATCATACCCTGGAAAATTAAACTCCTACTCTACACTACTTCTCAAGGTGAAGTTAAGTTTCATTGTAAAAGGCTTTAAAAGCTGTGCGAGAAGTATTTACTGGATGCAGTAGGGCACAGGGATGAAGGTCAGCAGGCATGAGGAAGACCAGAAGAAAGCTGTTTAAGGAGGACAGGACAGCTTGGAAAGCATAGAGCCTATGATGAGGAAGTTGAGATACAAATTGGTGTCAATAATCCTGCTAACAGGTCCCTGCATTAGCACAGCAGCAATGGAGAGGAAGTGATGGACCTATGCACATGTACATGCACATGTGTGTATGGGCACATGTACAACACACACATACACACCCCAGTGGAATTTGTACACTATGGAATATGGAGAGTGAAGGATGCAGGGAATGAAGTTGACCAAGGTTTTGGTCTAGGTCAACTGAGAAAATGGAGGCACCACTGGAAAGGGGTAATGGTTTTCAGGAAAACGAATGAAATTCAGGACAGCAGAAAGTATTAATGAGGACCATAGTGGGTGTTATAAAAGCCTGGTCTGGTTGCTTCCTCCATACCCCCTTTTCTAAAACCACTAACAGCTGTGCAACATTGGGCATATAGAACAAGTTCTCTAGCATCAGTATCCTGTGTCCTAACTGCAGCAGGCCTGTGTCCCTACTCACCTCACAAGGTTATGAGGCTCAAATAAGGAAAGGGACAAATTCATTTTCTGAATATAAAATATGTCCAAAGTGTAAAGGCATGTGGCCATCAATGGGATAGGAAATAGAAGTTTGGGTTCTTTATCATAGCAGGGGTGTTTAAAACCTGAGAAATGAATGAGTTTTCTGAAGCAGCAAGTTTATAGCTAGAAACACAGAAAGTCAAGAAAACCTACTGTTGGGGCTGGGGATTTAGCTCAGCGGCATAATTGCCTGCCTTGCAAGCAGGCAGTCGAGAGTTCGATCCCTGGTACCGATAAAAAGGAAAAAGACAAAAAAAAAAAAAAAAAAAAAAAAAAAAAAAGAAAAGAAAAGAAAAACAAAACAAAAGAAAGAAAGAAAACCTACTGTTGGAGGTAGAAGTGAGAGTCCACCAAAGCACAGGACTCAAATATTTCTTTTTCTGAGTTACCATCATCTCATGGAAATAGAGGTTGTTGGAAATACCTCTCTGTCAAAGATTCAGATCCACCCTATAAATGTAACATATAGTGGTCTTATTTCACAAAGGATTTGGGGATCACCAATGCCCTCTAAATATGGGAATAAGTATATCCATGCTAGTGGTGACTTCACTCTTTTCCCCCACAGATTGACTTTGTGGCTCATGATGATATTCCGTACTCTTCTGCCGGCTCTGATGATGTTTACAAGCATATAAAAGAAGCAGGTAAGACAGCCCCTGTGTTCACTTGTCTACCACACCAAATAATGAGGTACAAGAAGACATCTGCTCTAAGACTGCAGTATATATTCTGTCAAAAAATATCACCCTTCAGCAGTTCACTGTACTAATGTCTGGAAGCTAATGGCTACCACTTTGAGCACCTCTTGTAATTGTAGAGGCCAAAGGTAACTTGTATTCAATTCATGGTGTCTTAATAAGTTTAGTATTAAAATATTTACATTGAGTTTTCTTTTCCTGATGTATGCATTTTTTTTTTGAGACAGAGTCTCACACTATGTAGTTGCAGGCTGGCCTTAAACTCACAGTGATCGTCCTGTATCAGCCTTCTGAGTGCTGGAATTATAGGCGTAAGCCACCACACCTGGCTCCTGATGTATATATTTTTGGCTCTTTCTCTCTCTGACTTCCTTTCTCTGTCATGTCTCTGTGTTTCTGCCTCTCTCCCTCTCTCCATATATATATTGGAATTTCAGATGTCTCCCAAGCAGCTTCTACAAAGCTTCTCTAACATACACTAAGGTATAGTCATGGCACAGACACCATTTAAGTATTTATATTCCAATTAAACCAAGCACTGAAGTACTTGAACTCAGGTCTAAGGCTGATTTTAGAGCTCATCAGTCTAAAATCACAGAAGGAAGGAAAGCCTTCTTAATTTCATACCTTCCCCACTCCAGGGCTTGCAACAAAACCTGTACCTCGTCTGCTCAGCTTCTGGTTCTTGATAACTCAAAGGACACTCGGGCATTTAGAATGCCCTTTTTGTACTTGGGTGTTTTTGGGTTTTTTTGCCTTAAAAAAAAGGAATTTACTTCCTTACAGTTCTAGAAGTTAGAAGTCCAAAGAGTATAAGGTTGTTTAGGTTCAAATCTCTCTTAAACTTGCAGATGGCTGAGTTTTCTATGTGTTTTCTCATGGTCACCCCTCTGTCTATATTGTATTTATCCTGGAATCTTCATTCTTCCTTCCTCCCTGCCTCTTATGCTCAGAATCAAATCCAGGACCTTGCACATGCTAGGCAAGTGCTCATCCATTAAGCTGTACTTGCTTTTATTAATTCTTTTTCCAGGGAGTTTTAGAAAGAGCCTGTTTTAGAAGCCAAAGACAGAACATGATCTCCTGCATTCTCCATTATTTCTACCTTCTTTGAAATGGCAATCTTATTGACAGTGGGGACAGGGCTTCAGGACAGACATGATCCCAGAAATGAAAATGATATTGGACAATAATTCAGGAAATTATTCTGTTCCATAAGATGTACCCATTCATCTTGATGGAGTTTTGGTTGGTTCACATCTTTTTAAAGCCAGTCAGGGAAGCTCCATGCCACCCCCAATAGGGAAGGATGGTAGTTAGGTCTCTACCATCCTTTTAGCAAGTGCTCCCTCAGCGGTCAGAAGCATTGGAAAGAATGGAAGGTCTGACATGTTTTTTTTTTATCGGTACCAGGGATCGAACTCATGACTGCCTGCTTGCAAGTCAGGCACTAATGCCGCTGAGCTAAATCCCCAGCCCCCTGACATTTTTAAGTCCTGATCTTGTTTGTAAGGAGTTCCAAGAAAAGAAATCCCCTACACTTTAGGCCTAGAAAGCTGTGAGGAGTTGGAAAACACAGTGTGGGAGAAGGAGGGGAAGACTGGCTGAAGCACCAGTTACATCAGGGTGGGTTATGGCATAGGGCAGTTAATGTCTTTCTAAGTCTGTCAGATCTGGGCTAGAACCAGCTGCTCCTTCCCTAACACCACTGAAAGGACCTGGTATAGACCATTTCTTTTCAAATTTAAATGTTCCAACCCACTGTCTGGCTTTCATGAGAATTCACTTTTGATGTGGCATGAGAATCCCTTTTCTAATGAGCTCCTGGGGTGCAGGTCCACAGACCTTATTTAGAGCAGCAGAGATCTAGGCCAGGACTTGGGGTCCAGCTGAGTCGCCCCAAGCATTAACTGAATCACCATTCTTCGGGTGAGCGTTCCTCAGTCACCTTGTTGAAACAGTAAGGTGCGGGTTTTCTTTCTGGGTGAGTACCTCCAGTGAGCTAAGAATAGGTTGCTTTTTTGATTTTATGGAGTAAAATGTCAAATTCCAGTTGTAGGAACAAGTCCAATATTTTTCTAACTTTAGCAACCCAGCATCCCTATTGTGTAACACAATGACTCCTGAAGTAATGGGACCTGAAAGAGTGACTTTATTTTGCTCCTGATTTTGTGGGGCAAGATTTTAATGGAGGTGTGGTTGCATGCTTCTTGCTTGAGTGTCTCAATGGCTGTCAGGTGTTGGCAGGGGCTGTAGGCATCTGAAGGCTCAGCTGGGCTGCCTGCGCTCACTTATGTGGCTGACTCTGGATGCTAGCTGTTAACAGGCCAGTCGTGGTTGTCATGGGTCACCTGCATGTGGCTTCCCCATGTTGCTTGGGCTTCTCATAGCATGGTGGCTAAGAGGAACTGTCTAGAGAGGAAGCAGTCTTGACAGAAGCCACATGTCTCTTGTCATCCAGCCTTGAGAGTCACTCAGTGTCATGCCACATTCTGTTAACTACAAGTGAGTTACAGAGCCAACCCAAATTCAGGAGGAAGGAAACTGTGGCCATCTTTAATCTATCATAATTTCTTTCCAAAGTGAATAGTCAGGTTGGTGTTTTACTTGCTCTGGGAGTACAGGCCTAAGACTATGTGTGATTTTTCATAGGTACTAGGACTCTTCCTTCTGCCCCATTAATCTGCTCCCCTGAGTCCTCACCAGGAGGTAAATAACAGTGAAGTTCCCTAGCTAGAGAAGGCCAGAGTTCATTGTGGGAAAAAATGCCTAGAAATGGCCTGAGCACCTACATTTGACTTTTATACTCTAATCGTGGTTTATTAAGCAAAGCCAAAGATATGAAGGCATGAATTAAGCTTTATAACACTGCTCTGCTTGTCAGAGCTACATGTCAAAATCCTCTAGCAAAGCTGGATGAAGCAGTGGAGCCAAAATTAAATAGACTGTGAGGTCCACATTACTCATCATCATGCTAATATTGCCTACTACTGTTGAAAGTTTCCTTCATTAACATGTGCTTTGCTGCTGCTTAAAATAGCTCCATAACCAAACGCCGCAATTCTGAAAAGCATGATAAAAAAGGTTCTCTGATCATGCTCATTACTGAATATTTTTAGCAGAGCAATAATTAGGATTTGGAGGAAGCCGGGTGCCTCATTATGTCAGTGGAGGGCTTGGCTTCTTTCAGAGACCTACCTCCCCACGAGATGAAGCAAATCTCTCCCCAACCCCAAATCTACTTTCAGTTACTCAACCACAGAATCTCACCCTCTGGCTTCAAAGAAAGGGTGAGCTCACGTCATCAATGTCTAAACGCTTTGCTAAAACCCGTTAGTAGCCAGAAAATTATCTTCACACTCCAGCAGCAGGAGAGTGGGTGAAATATCTGCCTGCTAAAAGATAGGTTGCATTTCTTACCAGAAGACTTCCTGCCACTCCCACCAAGGTGGGGATGTCATTCCAGGCCCCCTGGCTTAGAACCAGAGTGCTACTTATATCCACGTGTTTAGAACTTTGCACTGTCTGCCTTCTATTTAGTTGTCTGTGTTTGGTTCCACCCTCCAAGAAGGGGATTAAAAAATGATTCCGATTTGGGAGCAAACTCCAACTGTGTCCTTTCAGCTAGCTGCTCTGTCTCTGATACAGTGTACTCCTGCCGCCCATGCTGTGAATGTGCAGGTGATATCTGCAAAGGGACAACCTTGTTGGGCTGCAACACCAAAAAATTTAGAGAGAACTGGACTTTAAAGGGCACTGTGAGGTCAATATTCATTCATTTAACAAATACTGCTATGTGCCTTCTTGTCTTTTGGTGCTGAGAAGAGAAGCAAGCATGGTGCAGCTCCAAGATGGTGATCGGGCAAGTTGTTCTATGGAGGCCTAACAGTATCTGAAAGGAAAGGGCGGTGTCACACAGGAGGGAGTAAGAACCACAAGGGCTCGGTCTAGGGGCTGAGCAATTTCCTTGAGGAAATGACTTTAAAACTGAAACCCAATAGATGACACAAAACTCACCAGATAGATTGTGTACAGAGTGCAGGGAGGAGGGCCAACAGTTTCAGGATATTCATGAAGTACAATGTGGCTGAGCTGAAACAGGGTCAGCCTGTTGCTCAGCTCCCTAGTCTACAGCAAGAAGAAAACTTGGAGCAATGGCCGGGGGCCATTTTGGAGTCAGGCTGGACCAGAACTTCTGCCGGCTTCCTCCAGCAGCTCCTAGCTGAGTGCAGACTGGTGGAAATTGCTTGGACTGAGCCCTGCCTCTGCATACATTGCAGCCCGATCATGATTGCTAACCAGTCAGTAACCAGTTTGGTGGGGAGGCAGTGGCTGGCTGCACCACCACATGCATTCTACCAGCCACCAGGGAGCCAGCACAGGCTGGGAAAAGCAGCAGATGGCCCTGCACCAGCACACCCAGTGGCCATCATCAGATATTCATAGCCAGCACTGGCTAGAAGAACCAAACAATCTTGCTTCAGAGAAATTGTAGAAGTGCCTAGGACCCCACTACACACTCTCTGGGAGAACCCAGGAATATGCCAAGATGAAGAATCAAAACATAGTCTCTGGCCTCCAACCCAAGCAGAATAAATTCAGGAGATATAAACACAGAAGAGATTGGGAGTCGCACACCTCAAGTTTATGAAGTGATGGTAACAAGTAAAGAAACAACTTCATGAGGCTATAAAAGCAATTAGAATATAAATACTATCTCAGGTAACAGAAGAAAGGAAAAACATAACAAAAGAGTTCCTAGCACCTCTAAAGAAGACATAGATAAAAAATAGAGGAGCATAGGAAAATGAGGGAGACCTTGAATGAACAATATAAAAAAGTCATGTAGGTGAATATCGTGTTGTCTCACTAGGATAAAAAAACTAAAGGAGTTAGTGGGATCCAAAATGCACAGTACATATTGTGAAAGTGAAAGAGGAGGAAGTGTTTGAAAAAGGAAGGCAGTGGCCATTGCTAATCTATTTTTGTGATTTGAAACCCATATTATTTTCATGGTTCTGTTTAGTTGGTTTTATTCTGTTTTGGTTTGTCTAATTTTATTATATTTGATGGCATGGACAGCTATTTCAAAAGTAATAAAATATATTCTGGAAGCCATCATTGATTTCCTATTACCTTGTTTTGAAACCCTGTATTGCTTTCATTGTTTTGTTTTGATTGATTTTGTACTATTTTGTTTTATCTGATTGTATCGTATCTGATGGTTTAGGCAGCTACTTTGAAGATAACAAGAGGTATTATGGTAGCCACTCTTGTTTTACTATTTTCTTGTTTTGAAGTCCTATATTGCTTCCATTGTTTTATTTTTATTGGTTTTATTATGTACTCTTTGGTTTGATTTATTATACCCGATGGTTTGGCCAGTTATTTTGAAGATAAAAAGAAAGCATTATGGTAGTCATTGTTGATTTCCTTTTATCTGTTTTGAAGTCATGTACCATGTTCATTATCTTGTTTTTATTGACTCTGTTCTATTTCATTTGGTTTTATTTTCTTCAAAATAAAAGAACAAAGTTTGAAGTTTTGCGATGCTGAGGCTGGGGTTAGAGAGTGAAGGGTAAAGAGTGTGAGAAAGAAGTACTATGGGGAAGCAATCACACAAGCCAAGACAGCACCAGGTCAATGATTCCACTGTCAATCCAGAGAACAGGAGGAAGTTAATAAAGGACAGCTGGCTTGCATTTAGAACTATCTCTGTAGATCTTGCTACATGGGTTGAAATGGACAAAAATGACATTGCTGGGGCTGGGAATGTAGAGGATGGAAGAGGCAGTGCCTAGGGTGTGTGAGGCCCTATGTTCATGCCCAGTACCACACACAAACACTATGCACACAACACATTGAGGCTCTTGCCTTTGAATAAGATGGTGTTGGACTGGTTGAGGACAGAGGGTGGAGAAAGGGGGTGAATAGGGATCATTTGAGAAGTAAGTTGGGGATTAGAAATTGATTGGATGGGGCCTGGAGATTTAGCTCAGTGGCATAAGTACTTACTTTGCAAGCCCGAGGTTGTGAGTTCAATCCCCGGTACCAGTTTAAAAAAAAAAGAAATTGATTGGATGTAGAAGTGAGGAAGAAGGAAATGGCATAGATGAGTCCCAGGTGATCCTGTCTAGCAACCTCATTTCTTGACTGAGGAGACTAAAGTGAAGCAGCTTGTCTTCAGAGGGTTTGAGTGACTTGCCCAAATATATAAATTGAGACCCTGGTGCTCTTGTCCCCAGATGCTCTGTCATGCTGTCTAACATGTGATGCCTTTTTTTCTTCTTATTGTACTACTGGGGACTGAACCCAGGATGTTTGCACTGAGCTACATCTCTAGTCTTTTTTTAAATTGTAACTTTTTCTGTTTTGATGTAAGTTCTCACTAATTTACTAAGTTACTTAAATCAGACTTGAATTTGTGATCCTCCTGTCTCAGTTTCCCAGAATGCTGGGATTACATGTATGTGCATGCCACCACATCCTGATAAATGTCTCTAAGGGTTTGTAATGATACAGAGTAAAAAGATCTCAGTTGCCAAAGTGTCATTTGTGTTGACAACAGAATTTTGAGCATAAATCCAATCATCAGTGTTGTTAGTGTTTGCAATGTTGTTATGGCCTGTATTGGCTGGTAACCCAAACATACTTCTGAAGAGTTTCAGGAAAGCTAATAGAACTGATAGACCTTGATGTCCTCTGAGACTGTTTATTTTTACTCAGTCCTACATATTCCAGATGAAAAGGCCTTTGAGTGGTGAAACTACTATGCAGAATAGATAGCTTTAAGAGAGATAAAATTGTCTAGCATCCCATAAGCATGTCCGTAGATCAGAGATAACAAACATAGTATAATTTTTCTTTTTTTCCCTCAGTGCCATGTGATGCAGACTTCCTTGGGGAAGAAGGGAGGTGCTCTGATCTGACTGATTCATTGACTCAGTCTTTGTTCACTTACTCATTCAATTCGCATTTATCACGCACCTTCTATGTACCATCCACAGGTGCACTGAGTTTGGGCACTGGGGATGCAAAGGCGGTTAAGGCGCAACCTGTGCATTTGAAATGTTCGTTTCTACATGTAGGCAGATGTGAAGAATGCTTTCATTAACAAAAAACGTATCTGTGTCCAAACTGCTATGGATTCTGCCTAGTGATGTCAGGAAAGACTTCTCCAAGGCATAAGCATGAAGCCAGACCATAAGGATGAGGAACTCTGTAGTCAACATGGGAGGGAATAAGGCTCAGTATAAAGGGTAGTGTGTGTGTGTGTGTGTGTGTGTGTGTGTGTGTGTGTGTGTGTGGAGCTGAGGCAGGAAGAGCCACCTGGGACCAGACCCGAAGACCTCACTGACATACCTATGAGCTCCCACTTTGTCCTGGGAAGGAAGGCCATTAAAGGAAATGAGTTCACTGAGGTGACCTTGGTTTTATCTCTTCTTTCCTGCTTGAACAGGAATGTTTGTTCCAACACAGAGAACAGAAGGCATCTCAACATCAGATATCATCACCAGAATCGTCCGTGACTATGATGTTTATGCCCGGCGCAACCTCCAAAGAGGGTACACAGCCAAGGAACTGAATGTCAGCTTTATAAATGTGAGTGTGCCGCCCCATGCCCGCTGAGGCTTACCACAACACAGCACCACTACAGCGACTGAGGCCACTTCTGTGTGCTTACTGTGTGTCATGCAGTGTCCTTAATGTTTTGCACTTCCTGCCCCATGTAACCCACATAACAATTCAATGATGTATTTTATTCCCATTTTATAGATGAGGAAACCAAAGTCCGAAGGAATAATGTAAGTTAGCCAAGGAACATAGGTAGCAAAAAGAGCTTTCTTACTGCCCTCTCCTTGCATCCCCCTAACTTTCAGATTTGAGTTTAGGCTTTCTGGGAAATCTGCCCCTTGTGAAAGGCAAGAATTGTCTTGTGTTCAAAGAGAAGGAAAGAAGATAAAGGCAATGAAATGTTAAGCCCAGGAAAAATGCTTTCTTGTTTTAACATTTTTTAAATTTTCATTTTATTAAGGCCTTAAAGATGCTCATTAGAAACTTTAACAGCCTTTTTTTATTGTCCAGAAAAATTACAGCTACTTAAATAAAAGCCCAACGTCTTTGGCTTCTTTTGTATTTCTGCCGTCTTGTTCCCAGAAGCTGGTGTTAGTTTAATAACAGGGCAACAGTTAAAACAATCTTTAAAAGAAGCGAAACAGGCTGTTACAAAGGAAAGAGGGCAGCGCAGTGGCTAGAGATGATGTTAGTGAGTCCAGACAGCTGGATTTGCCTGGTATCTGACGAGCTGTCTTTTATTAAAACCAGAGAATGCAAGGAGAATTCCAGCCTCCCTTCAAATAGATACTATATTTTCAGAAAGCGATTTGGTGGGCTGAGGATTTAGCTCAGCAGCATAAGGGCCTGCCTTGCAAGCAGGCAGTCAGTCGTGAGTTCGATTCCTGGTACCGATAAAAATTTTTAAAAAAAGTGATTTGGCTTCAAAACTCATTGCTTATAGTGATAAGCCACCATAATTATCCTGCGTCTCACATAGTTGATCATTATTACCTAGCTTCAAAATAGGAGATCATTAACTACAAGTCAGTGATCATTAATTGTCCTCATGAGGCAGAGAGTGATGGGAGTCTAAGCTCTGTGTCTTCATACAAGTCGGGCAGCAAAATGGAAAATGTTGGGTTCCAGTGGCACCAGAACAACTGGCTGAAAAGAATTCAGTCAAAGTGATTATTTGCTATCTTACAGAGAATAAAGCTCTGGTTATTTCAATAAATTAAACTGTCTGTTCTTTTAAATTGAATTCAGTCAACCATCCAAGCATGGTGAGCCATTTCCAAAAGTTATTGCTCACTCCCCTTAAATGGTCTTTAGATAAGCCACTTAGCTCAAGGAACCATGCAGGCGGTGTGGATATGCTCGCTGCCTTTTGGTGGCAACAAACCTGGCCTCAGCTTAGAGTTGAAATTGAATGTGTTGGATAGGCGAGTATATGAATCACAGAACCTGAGAAGTGGCAGGGACCTGACTGGGGCCAGTCATCCAGCCCAAGTCCCTTGATTCAGAAAGGAAGAAAGCTGATCCCAGGGAGGGCACCCGACCACTGTCCCTCGAGCAGTTGTCCAGGCTCATGACTCTAAGCCTAGTGTTCATTCTATTGTGCTAGGCTGGCCCTGTGAGTTGTGCACATAACCATTTCCAGTGCAGAATGAATTATGGGAGAGAATGACATAAAGACAGCAGTTAACGCTTAGCTGAGAGCTTATCATGTGCCCAGCTGAGTGTTTTACCGGGACTACCTCATTTAAGCCTCATGATAAGCCTACAAGTGTGGACATAACTATTTCCAACATACAGGCAAGGAACCAGAGGTTCAGAGACGTCAGGCAATTCACCTAATGTCACATAGTAAATTATAAAAGACAAGGTGACTTTCTATAGTGCGTGTGTATGTATGTATATGTGTGTGTATGTGTATGTGTAGCTGAGTGACAATAACATACGTCATACCACACTCTGAGACTGCAGTAAGGTTCTGAAGAGCTAAATCAAGGCTCTTGGTCCACTTTTACTATATTCAAGGTGTTTCAGAATATTCGGAAATGCAAAATGAGCTTGAGTCACACGACTCAATTGCTCACTCCCCTTAAATGGTCTTTAGGAAGAGCAATATCTCTTGCTATCTTTTTAGGAGAGCGTATCATGATTCATGGGAGGGGGGCTTTTGTCTCAAGTTATTTCCATTCTCTTAATCGCAAACGTATCAGGTAACTTAGAGAAATGCCTAGACCACTTGCTAACTGTGAACAACCAATATATGTCAAGCATTTACTAAGTCATAGGCTCTCTACCAAGCACATCCAAGTATTATCTTACCTAATTACCACAGCAATCCTGAGGGGTATGGATGATTATTATCCTAATATTACAGTTCAGAAAATGGAAGCTTATTTATTTATTTAATTCCACAATTGTTCTGTTTTTTAATTTTTTATTTTAAAGAGAAAAAATAAAATAACAATAAGGCTGGGGATTTAGCTCAGCGGCATAAGCGCCTGCCTTGCAAGCAGGCAGTCGTGAGTTCGATCCCCGGTACCGATAAAAAGGAAAAAGACCAAAAAAAAAAAAAAAAGCCTATCTCTTAAAATAACAATAAGGCAGCCTTTCAAAACAGGTTAGTATGAAGTTACAGTAATTAATACATTGCATATTGTTGTCTTCATAGTACCCCATACCACAGCGATATATGTGCACCCATGTTTTTAACAGCATAATTTGTATTAGCTAAATCCTGGAAACAACCCAAATGTCCACCAACCGAGGAATGGATTAAAAAGTTGTAGCATTTTATGCAATGGAGTACTACTCAGCCATAAAGAAGGATAAACTGGAGACTTTTATAGGTAAATGGAGGTTTAAAGGTGACACATGATTTGCTTAACACATGTGGCTTCTGGGTACATAATTAGACAACATTGCTTCATAAAATCTATAAGAAAAAAATCCAGGTTCAAGGAATTTATCAGAACAAAAGTTTCTTCATCACTAAGGAAAGTGATACAGTTCAACAAGCTTAGTAGAAAATGTCATAACATTGAAAATTTTAATATAGCACATGAATTTTATAGCCCAGTCAATGACCCAGTTTTATAAATGATATTGGTTTTAACAATGTCCCTGTAAAACAGAAAACTCAAGCAGTCTCTGATAGCCACTCTGCAGACTACACAAAGTTTTGTCCTAATCCCTGCAGAATTAAGTGGGGATATTTGCCCAGTAAAGCACAAAAGGGCAGTTGTGTATTTTATCTCCCTTTTCCCTCTCACTGCTGAGGATTGAATAGTTTCTTCTTTTGTATAAGTAAATCCAATTCATAGAGTAGAATAAAAATATTGAAACCACTTGTAGTTCCCTTTACATTTCCAAATAGATTTATGACAAATGACTTTTCTCACAAGATATGTGCTTTGCTGTCAGTCTAGCCTTCAGGAAATGATGATATCCTAACCATTCACATTAGGTACAAATTCAGGTTGACTTAAAATGTGACCATCGGGGTGGATGATCAATCTCTCTTTCCTGTCCTCTTGGATGAATCCGCTTCTCCTGTAACTTCTGACCAGGAAAAGAAATACCGTTTCCAGAACCAAGTGGACAAGATGAAAGAAAAGGTCAAGAATGTGGAAGAAAGGTCAAAGGAATTTGTTAACCGAGTCGAAGAAAAGAGTCATGATCTAATTCAAAAGTGGGAAGAAAAGTCAAGGGAATTCATCGGCAACTTCCTAGAATTGTTTGGACCTGATGGAGCATGGGTATGTAGTTATCTCGCTTAGCCCACAGTAATAGTGTTTTTACTTTATCCCCCTTTTTGTGGAGTCCCCAAAAGGTATTCCTACCTCATATGCTCTCCACTTGGGCATCAGCCTAGATGACTTTGAGTCATGTCACTTCCTTATTTACTGTTTTACTCCCTGAGTGTGGCACCAAACTAGCACCTGAAGCCAGGCCTGGTCTCTGTTTCTATGCTTTGTCCAGAGCTTAGAAGCCATTAACTGCTCACTGTATGTTTATTAGTACAAAGTCTGGTTCTGTAGCTCATGTCAGTCTCCCTCCCAGTTGGGGAGGATGCGAAGCTTGGCGGGTAAAGCTGACCAATGGCAGCCCTGAGCTTGTGTTGCAAGATAATGTCAATGGGTTCTTAGCTGAACCACAGTCATTTATGTTGGGTGGGGGAGACTGCAAAAGAAATGTGGCTGTCTCGGTCATCTTTTGTTGTCAGGAACTCTCTTTTTTCACTGGTTGTGAGATAGAATTTTGCTATACATCTGTATTCATCATGGACTAATTTTCCCATGGCATTAAAGTGTTGAGATAAATGACAAAATTCTTAGAGGACTGAGATAATGAACTGAGAGAGATAATATAGATCATGTCCTTATGTAAATTCTATGAACAAGTGTGAATGCTAACTATACGAAGAGAAAAGAAAATTCTGGAAGCTACTTTGTATCCTGTTGGTATTTCTACTGCACGTATCCTGTTGGAATAAATAACCAACACATAGTGAATGAGTATTCTATGAAACAAAAACTTTTAAAGCTGACTTTCCGTTTAAAACAAAAAGAAATGATTCCCTTTGATTTCCCTGGTTTTAAGTAGCCTAGATTTCCCATTATGAAATGAGAAGTTTCTAACAAAATCTATTTTGACTTAATTATTTTATTGATGGGTTGTCACTGCTGCCTCTGCTCATTTGAGCTCATTCATTATAGGATTATCTAAAAGTAAAACACTCAATTAGTTATAGAAAAAGAGCAGTGTTCAGGAAGTTGAAAGGGATGGTTTTCTTAAAGCCCAGAGGCCTCTAAGTGATTACAGAGGTGGACATTACAGGCCAACCCCATCCTACGTATGAGTCAGAGAGCTAGAAACGATGCAAGGGCTGCTGGAGCCTTAATCATTTTCAGAAAGAGCTGGCAACAGTGGAAGAGCCAGGCACTGGGCTCCTTTTTGTTTTCCCCAGGCTTGTTGAAATTTTCAGTTCGGAGACTCTATTCTCTGATCTCCAAAACATAAAGACTGAAAGTGATTTAGTTGTTCCCATTTCCATAAGTAATGTTCAGGCTCTGAGGAAACAGCTGGTTTTTAATAACACCACGCAAGTATTCATCTGCTTACAGGGATTCGGAAATGTGTCTCTGCTGAGCCCTCATATTGTAACTCAAGGGATGGATGTTTTCCCTCCCTGGGGTGAGCAAAGGCAGGCAAAGGATGTAATTTCATAGAAACTTTATAGACTTTTTTTGTTTCAGCCTCCCAATGAAGGTGAAATAGCAGCTACAATTGTTCTTGGAGAGTCTGGTGACAATGAGCTGCGGTGATTTTTAAGAAATGAAACCCAGCTTAGAAACTGGAGGTTTTTCTTTTTAAAACTTGCTATTAGTGTCAAAACTGTTATTAACATTAATTTACTGTATCAGCCAGACTTAGACATTACTTTTTTCTGTTGACATTAAAAGTACAGGAATAGTTACAAGGATGTTAAACGCCAAGATAAGTAATTTACTTTTCATGAATATGCTATTATTATAATAATTCTTTATTTGTGGATTTGGGACTGAAACTCATTTCTTAAAATAGAGGATCTGCATTACCTGCAAAAACAGTGCTGATGCAAATAACCCAAACTTGGAAAGGTACAAAATAAAAGGATTTAAAGTAAAATTTTGGTATGAGGTTTACTAGCTTATAGTGGATACTCCATAAATATTTCTGAATTGAAGGAAGGGATGTGTGAGGAAAACCTATTCACAAAAATGTCCAGCATTTGCAAAAGCCTAAGTCCTCTACATGTATATATGTGTCAGTAGCCTTTTATTGTTAATGGTATTGGATACAAGGATTGGTTACAACTTCATGTTTGGTGGCTCAAATTTAACAGGCAAAGTTGATATGCTAAATTTTCAACCATATTTTAAGATTTCTTTTGGGGAGGGCATGAAATTACTATTTTTCCATGGTTACATGATTCCTAAAGGCTCCAACCCCTGCCCCAATCTGACTCACACATTTATGTGCCTGCCTGGACCCAGAGAATATTTTAATTTGCTCCTTTCAATTGTGGGAGAACATTACAAAAGGATGTGATCGATCTCATCAGTTTACTTATTTAACTACTTGTGTTTGATTTTTCTAGAATCTTGACTTGTGCTCAAAAGGTAGCTTATAACACAAATAGTGTGGCAAAGGGATCCCTGCGGTTTCGCATTACTGTTGTAGAATTCACAAGACAATTAATTTGAAAAGAGAAAACATTTATTTGGGCTTACATTTTTGGGAACTCAGCAGATGGCTGGTTGCCCTGTTGCTTGTGAACTCATGAGGAAGCATAATATTATGGTGGGGGACTGTAGTAGAGAAAGCCACTTACTACCTCCTGGTAGCTGGGAAGAAAAAAGAGAGGAAGTGATGGGGTCCCACAGTTCCCTTGGTGACAGGAAGACTTCCCACTAAGAATCACCCATGAAGTTTCCACCATGTCCCAGTAGTGTTATGAATAGGAGACCAAGCCTTTACAACACATGAATCTTTGGGGAAGGTTCTACATCTAAACTACAGCACCCTTCCAACAGAGGTTGGTGTTACTGTTCTTTGGTGGTGTCTCTGAAAGACTGACTGTCACAAGAAGGGTTTTCCCATGTTTGAGGTATCTGAATTTGCAAAACAGACACAGCCTGTTTAAATATTAGCACCTTAGCCATATAAGCCATTTAAAAAATCATTATGTGTCACCCTGAATGATCTGCCACTGCATTCGTTCACTGACTAAAAACACAAATCTTTCTTTTTGAAAATGAAATGACTATTTTACCATGCAAACACAGACCCTTTCCATGAGACACCAAGAAAGAATGATCTTTAGTCACGTGCAAGGTTTTAGTTCATCATAGACTAGTAAAGTCTTTTGTCCCAGTATGATCAGTCTGGCAGGTCCTATGCCAGCCAAACAGGCATATGCCGTCTTCTATATGAGATTACCTTTTTTTTTTTTTCCCGCTCACCCCACTCCCGAGATTACCTTTTAAAACGCAGGCTGTGTCTGTTCTTCACTGCTAATTTTTAAGACTGTGGTAAATAGGATAAAGTTTGCTATTTAAAGTACTTTTAAGTGTACAATGACACTAAGTACATTTCATTATTGAGCACTGATCCCCACCATCCATTTCCACAGCTTTTTAAAAACCTTCCTAAGTAGAAACTCTATACCCTTTATTTTTTAATTTCATTTTTTTTCTTTTTTGAGACAAGAGACTTGCTATGTAGTTCATGCTTGCCTTGAATTCATGGTGATACTCCTGCCTCAGCCTCCAGAGTGCTAGAATTACAGACATGAACTGGGGTTGAACCTAGGGCCTTTGGCATCGTAGGCAAGGGCTCTACCACTGAGCTACAGCAGTCGCCCCGCTCAGGTTCTTGTACCCTTAAACAACTCTCCCCAGCCCCTGAGAAACATCATTCTCCTTTCTGTCTCTGTGAATTTGACTACTGTGTGTGTGTGTGTGTATGTGTGTGTGCATACCTCATATACATACAATATTCACCATTTCATGTCTGGCGTATTTTATTTAGCATGATGTCTTTGTGGTGCATCCATGTAGCATAGATCAATGTTGTACCAGCCTTCTAAAGCTGAATAATATTCCGTTGTTTGTGTGTGTACATGAAACACTGTTTTTACATTTTCCTGCTGATGGACAGTTTGCTTGTTGCCCCCTGTTGGCAGTTGTGAATAATGCTACTGAGCATATTAGTGTCCCTTATATATCTGAGTCCCTGCAGTTCTTTTGGGTATATACAAAGAAGGCGAATTGGCTGGATCATCTAGTAGGTATATGTTTAATTTTTTGAGGAACTCCCATACTGCGTTTCATAATGACTGCACTATTTTACATTCCCACCAAGGACATAGTTCTAATTTCTCCACATTCTCGCCAACACTTACTGTTTTGTTTTGTTTTTATAATAGCCATTCTTTTTAAGAGTTTAGATTTCAAGAAAAGAGTATAAAGTGCAGTTTGTAGATTTGATTTAGATTTCTTACTTGGGAATTTTGGACAATTGGTTTTTTAAAAAGTAGCCTTGTACATATGCACAAATAAAATGTGAGTAAGTATGAAAATCTTTTTACTATTAAAGCGGCTAATTACAAGAGAGGTGGTCATGCTCAGGGACTTATCCTGTCAGGGCAGCCTTGAGCAAGTTCTTTTGCTTGTTTGGACCTCAGGCACAGCTATTTTTTTTATTATTATTTAAAGATAAAAAAAGAAAGGACATAAAAAACAAAGCAGTAAAAGGGTACAAATAATACAGTATTTCAAGAAAAAAATATACCGTAAGAAATCACCAGTTAATAGGTTACATATTATCTTCCCAGAAACAGTTGTCCAAATTACAAAATTAAAGCATATCAAGTGGACATTCATTCAGTGAAATTGGAGACAGTTCCGAGGCACAGCTCTTGTAAGTGGCAAAAGTTAGCTTAGCTGCCTCCTAATGTTGCTGAGAGGATTAAATTGGTTCACACTTTCAAACCCTTCTAACAGTAGCTGGCACCCACACAAATAGCAGATATATCTTGGTACCTGTGTAACAGTTAGTTGTTGTTGTTGTTGATGATATCACTTATAAATTTGTCCCGAACTAAAACACCAGCTCTTTTCTCTCCTCAATTTTGGTCTTGCTTACCAGGGATCCAAACCAACTCATACTAGAATTTTTTTTTTTCATTTCTTTTTTAGCACGTATGCCCAAA